TGTTCTTATCCGTTTTTATGTTCTAAGAAGACCGAGAAAAATCTCTTACAAGGAGACCGAGAAAAATCTCTTACAAGGAGACCAAGAAAATTAATCTACATTGCTAGAATCGAGTATTAATCGAGAAGGACGGAATTTTCTCTCCTATTTTTATTTTTTTCTGGAACATTTTTTTGTAATCGTAAAGTTTGAAGTTGATAATCAAAAATATAATCCAAATCATAGGCAGAATGTTATTTAATTGTATGCCATCTTTGAACAAGTCGCAATAATTAGAATATTGAAGTAGCCCTGACATTAAACATTTAATCAGGACGTCAAAAATATCCTTAAGTTGATTGTTAAAATAATCAAAATATCGAGATTATCATGTATCAGTTAATTGACACGTCGAAGATGAATTATAATCTGAATGACGCAAAATGTCACTTAGGTCTTTTTCAGTTCCAAGTGTTCATCGTTTCGATCCGATCGTCCACCTTTATGTGCTATAAATAAAAGTATATACCACATGCTGAAAGTTGCATAGAAATATAACGTACCTTTGACAATTGAATACCGACACGTGCCTGTTACTCGTGAACAGGCATTGCTAGTACCGTTGAAATAAACTTGAATAACGTTTTCGCCTGGAAACCGCAGTTAATTTACCACCACTCAGCATCTCGAAATTCCTGATCATACCTCAGCAATATCGATACATCACTATTGTCAAGCTTCATCGTGCGAAAGTAACATTTTCATTTCTCTGGGACGCGATATCGATTGGAGAAATCGTAAGGAAAAAACATTGAACCATCCCTGCGATGACGTGTGGTTCCATGAAAACTGGGCGACTCATGTAATCAGCAAATCGCAAGTTCGATCCTTACCGTCGCCATATATATCGTTCTGAGGGCTGTAGCAGAAAGGCTGACTTATAATATTAAGACAGTGTCTTATGAGTTAAGTATTATGTCTTCAGTAACGCACAAGGACTGTCTTGTGACGTATGCTTAAAGACACTTGGTATTTATACATCTTTAAGACATAAATCATAAGATACAATAGTTCTTGTGCGTTACTAAAGATATAAGACTTAAGCCATAAGACATTGTCTTAAGATTATAAGATTATAAGTCTGCTTTCTGCTAAGGCCTTAAGTCTATTTTTCATTGCTGCATTATACTAGAACTTTTTTTTTCGTTTTCAAATTAATATCATCAAATTAATATCTATTTCACTTTGTTCTTAAAGTATAGTTCAGCTAGTACAAAAACAGACCTTTTAGAAGAGAACTAGGATTATGTTAAACCGAGAAAGGGGGGGGGAGGTTGAGCAGTCTCATGAGGTCCAGTACATAACACTGGACTGGAACTGCCAACTTCGGTGGGAGTCACAGAGGAGTTCTTTATATTTAGATAATGACATTTAGGGACTTATACGATCCCATCCACACTTCCACTATTATTGTTACACACTCTCTAAATTCTTTCGAGGAGAAAATTCTTTTCTCACTCTAAATTCTCTAAAGTGTGAACATTAAGCCAGTCTTAAAAAAGAGGCTAAATTTTCAATCTTTAAAAGTGAAATTGTACTCTTTAGAGTGACAATTTATTATATAAAAGTTTTAGAATATATTAATATATTAACGTAATATATTGTTAATTTATATATTAATTATTCTTTTTTTATTACGTAATGATTCCCTCTAAATCTTTCGGTTTTTAATTGTACCCTCTCGAATTTTTTTTTTTGTTTTTTTACTTCTAATACCGCAACACAACGCGGATTCATCCGCGCGATTTGTTACGTGTACGGAACGAGTCGCATCCATCTCGCTCGCGCGAATTGTTCGCGATCGCAATTATAGCAGGACCGGTTGTCTACGAAGAAGCCGGCGACCCCGACGAGACGCTAGCGAACACATAATTCGCTTGCTGCAATTGTGCATCTCCCGCCCACCCACGCGACCGTTGCATTGCGCGTGACATCGCGGACAACGCAAACTCCTCGCGCACATTTCGTTATCTCTTTTACTTTGCGAGAGGATTTGTGAACTCTGCTAGAATCAAAACTCTCGCTAGAATTGTAGTAACTTTTCCTCTAAGTGTCGTGCTGAATACAAAGATTTAAAAATTAATTAAAAATATGTAACCGTCGAAACTTTATTTAAAAATAATTATAGGGATTTGGAACTTTAGAATTGTAATAAATAAAAGCACACTTTTTTTCCAAATGTGTCTTCTGTATTTAAAGTGTAATAAAAATCGGTAAAAAATCTACAATTTTATTTTCAAATTACGTATATTGGTAAGTTGAATAGTATATTAACGGGAACTGTTGCTAAAAGTAGTAATATATTTATTTTTTTTTTATTTTAAAGCGAAAAGTGTCATGCCAGATTCGCGAAGTTAGCACGCTACATTTTTTATTTTTTATGTTAAAAAAATTGAATATGATATCCTAACTTAGCGAATCTAGGACAACACTTTCCTTTAAAATACAAGAAAAAATAAATCTTTTTTTGACAACAGTTCCCATTAATATTACTCGAATTCTATCATGTACATCTATATATATTTTGAAAACTTAATTTCAACAATTATCAATTTTTATACGCTTTAAATATAGAAGACGACGTTTGGAGAGAAAGTCTTTCATGAACGTTGGTTCAATTTATTTTCCAATAATTAGCAATCACTAAAAATCTTTCGTATCGAATAGTCGATTATATAGAACGCTATTTAGTTTGTTATTCGTGTCTTCGTGACGCCCATTTACTGATCATATTACGACAGTACACAATCGTAACCCCGATCCGCGACATTACGTGGCCGTCGATCTCGCAATGTGTACCTTACGCGAAGACTTTACACGTGAGGCAGCCATTTCACGCACGAGGAGGCGTTTACATAATAGATCAGCTCACGACAGAGCGCGTAAAGCCGGAGCAACGATCGACACGTGATATTGATCCTCTTCTCGGTTTCTATCGGGGTATCTACAGGGGTACGAGGGTCCCTTGGAAATGCCATTAATGTCGGGCACGTTTCACATGAAACTGCAAAAGCTGCTGATCGATACGTATCCCCCAAACTCACAGACACGCTGCATCTCTTGAGGGAGAATTCCCCCTCGATGAAGATTCTTAATTGGTGTCGACGGAAATGTCCGATTTCGACACGAAAATTGTGCGAAACTCGTCTAATTCTTGTATCCTCGTAAATTACGATTCCGCTTTTGAAGAATTGTATACAATCAATTTTAATTAATAATGTTGGAAATCACTAAATATGATATTTTTAGGTCGAAGTGATATTCCTATAAAAGCCTATTTTCGTTCTTTTTAAACATATATATTTGACAAGAAAATAATAATTGTCATTTTAGTCTGGAGTTGTCTAGTTCTACAATGCAGTCTTGACGAAGAAATTGGATTATTCAGAAGAAAAGGCACTCGTTTTCTGTACGCATCCTGGATCAATATTTCAATCGCTTATTGGTGCGTGTGATGCACATCGACTTGCGCCATTTTTTGACTCGGTCTTGGGAGATGTAACACGACTCCGAAGTTGCACATTTGCAATATAATGTTTATTGAGTAGCGAGATAAAATTACAAATAACAGCTTATTTTTTTACGCGGATTTAAAAGTTTTAAGACGAAACTAGAGGTGCAGTGTTTATCATAATTTTATTCTTGTATCATAAAGCTTGTACAAGAATCGCTTCTTTCACTTCGAAAAATTTTCGGATATCCGATTTGATTATTAAGATATTTACTGTAAAAATGTAAAGTCTAATCTGTCTTACATGTTTTTAATTGAGCAACATTATATTATATTTTTTTATTTCACTATTAATCATATCATCCTATTATGCGAAACTAGTTTAAGCTGACAGAATTAGGACACCGCGTGTGTATATGATGATAAAATTGTGACAAGCGCTGGACACTTTCCCAGTTAACTGGATTACAGCCTTATGCAATAATTCCATTTATAAATTACTCTTAAATATAGCTTTTAATCGGATAATTTGAATGCCTTTAATATTATCTGATCTTTCTCTTTGTAAAATTGCATTTTTAATGTACACTTCAGATTTTTCAGAAAATAAATTTTAGAGTAAAATATATTTAAAAATACATTAAAAATGTATGAAGCGAACTTCAAGATATTCATTCTTAGCTAACTGGATTAAAGTTTTATGCAATGATTCCATTTATAAATTACCCTTAATAGCTTCGAGTCATGTAATCTGAGTGCTGTTAGTATTATCCGATCTCTTGCTTTTAACAAAAAATAATAATTGCCTTTTTAATATATATACTTCAGATTTTCCTGGAAAAGAAAGTTTCAGAGTAAAAAATTTTGTTAACTTCAGAACATTTTATTTCATAGAAATGATTTTACTGAAAATTTAAAATATGTAGATTTTAAAAATATTTTCTCGGTACAAATCTGTTTTATATTACTATTGAAATAATTACGTAGGGCGCTTAAATTGGTTGCCAGAATGTTACATTTATTGAGATTGAGTTTCATACATAATTATTGTGACGATCCAACAAAATTATTTTCAAATTTGCATCTATGTATACTTAAATTTTTAAGTATTTCAGCAAAATCATTCTTTTCGTATAGTACTTGAAAATCTTTCTAAATCATTCGTGATGCATGCAATTGCGTACAAGCTAAATAAAAAGTAAGTTTAATCTGTCGGCTGACAAACATATTTTTCTAATCCCCTTGAGGCGACTGCGAATATCATTGCTTGCAAATGTACATCAAGGACAGATTACCAGAGTCAAGGAGACGGAAAAAAAGAAACAGATTGCGGCAAAGTACAAAGCGTAGAGTGAAAGAGGTGCAAAGTCGTCTCACAGGATTAGACTTTCAGGGCGGAGTCGACCGTGAAAGTGAAACATTATCTACGCCGACTGTACCGGTTGACAATCGGGACTCGACGAGGCACGAATCTCATACTGGCCAGTAACTGGTGGTCGGCACTGTTGGCAGTCGACAATCGGCAGTCGCAGCGACTGTATGGGCACGTGTATTGTGATTGACTGATTGTATTACGTCAAAGTTTCTCGCACCATACGCTTCGAAATTCAGATTAGCTCTCGGCGAACTGTCGATTAATCGTTAAAAAATTCCTACGACTTACAAATTCCGCGTTCGTACCAAATAAATAACGAGCTGAGATTTTACATTCTGGAAAAAAATTTGCTCTGTTGTTATCGACGCATTACTCAGCAAACAACGTAATCGCCTTCGATTATCTTGATAATCTGTCGAGGATGCTACATTATACGATATTAAATTCATAACGATATATACAGAATATCCTCAGAGAATAAAATATTCAGTCTAAACGGACGTGATATGTCGAATTTTTTTTAGCAAAATCTCCAAGTTTGATCTATCAAGACACAGATGTTAGTCGACAATTCACTCACGAGTTATTTGAGTGATCTCAACGACAGATTGGGGATACGAATCTGCTCGCGGCTGCTTCGAGTTGCACCTCGACCGATGACGAATCGTGCACCGATCGTCGTCTAACTCGGTGTTATCTTATCTTACATCGCACGGAAACGGGAAGAAGAGGTACGTGTGCCAGCGCGGCTCGTGTCCCTGAAAGTTACGCAACGCAGTCGGCAGACACGATGAAGTCGAAGACGAGCGAGAGCTTGATAGCAAGTGAAAGCAAGGCGGAGTTCAAGAAAGACGATGCCGACCAGCACAAACAAAAACCATTGAAAAAAGGTAAAAAATGTTGGCTGCCCTGAAGACCCAAAAAATCGTTTCCTCACCTTCTATTCTGCGGTCGTCGTGACGAACGAGCCGCCTCTTTTTACTCTACGTCAATCTGCCTTCATCCGTGATGCTAGATTAAAAGCGCAATTAATTTCGCAACGACGAGCCATTATGCCGTTATTTTTGAAGATCCAGTGAAATTTAAACGAATGATTAATGAATAATTAAATGAATCAGTAGCGTTCAATGACTCTTTAACTCTCGAATCTCCTACAATATCATTACCTTTTAATTTGGTAATAATCGTTCCTCATTACCACTATCTCATTATGTCTGTTTGTATAATATTATGATATAATAATAAGATATTATAATAAATAGGAAAAATTGATGGGTAAAAGGCTCCATGGACCATAATGCTGAATGAAGCGTACATCGAGATATCTATTGTATCAGTATTCATTAATCTTCGAAATCCATTAGCACTATTATCGCGTCGGCGCAGTAAACGCATTAAACTTTCAATAATGTTAATTAAACGTGAAATAATTACGACTATTGACTATGTAAATAGACCTTGCTTTTTATCTCGTTATTCACGAAATTGGAGCCATGTCCGAGATGAAATCTGTGTCGACAAGAAATTCGACGCGGTAATATGAAATCCGTTCCGCTGGTGGGTATTTTACGACATCCGCCGATCATCCATCCGTCTTATCAACTTGCCTCACGACTGGTTTAATATATCGCGGCGACACGATGCTTAAATTACACGATGCGAAAGTACCTCGTGTGATACCACGCGATCCACGAGATCCGGCAACATTTGCATATTACGACGGCTGCTTCTCAGCCACGAATATCCGTCACGATTTTCGTCGTTCGTGACGAGGCGAATCTGAGGAACGTGACACGGTACCGCACGCCGAGGACGTTTTTAACCGCTCCGATGCTCCGACGAGGAAATGCATTCCTTAGCGCGCTAGAAACGCCGATCGAAATCCCGTTTGGGTCTCAGTTACATTGTGAGGCGATCGGCAGTATCGCCTAGACTATTTTCTCGATTATCTGCTATCTGATTGTGAGAATACGTTCTATAACTTATTCTGTGACTCGTTTTCAAATTATTAAATATTTTTAACGATTTAAATTTTTAACGATATTGCGCGACTTACGTCGAATTTCTAATAAAAAAAAACCGCGAGAGAATTAATTTGATTATTGTGAAATGCTGTCCTGGAGAAGTGTTTAAGAGCGCAAAGTACTCGTTTCTCGTTGACATTGTATTGTTGATATATAGTTATACGCAGGATATAATAATTGCGTTTTTTCGCGCTGTCGACAATAAAATTCATATACACACATCGAGAATGCAATACAAGCGTTTCGTAATTTAGTTACCCCCCGCACTTGCGGGATACTAATTACTGACTTCATGCATTATTAAGTAATCATCGGTAATTGTCATATAATGAACATGAGCCGAAATATGTACTTTTGCACATTGCATCATGTACACACAATCGGCCTCTGCCAGTCCATAACACAATAATAATAATTTTATACGTCATGTGCAACCTTGAACTGTATTGAACGATTTACAATATTTAAAGTTTGTGGCATTTACAATGTAAGAAGTTGTACGTTTATTTTTATGTATATACTGCAATATATTGTGACATATGCTTCAAAGTAAAATAAAATAACTATTTTTTAACCATTATTTTTATCATCAAGAAACAATTTATAACTTATGAGGTTGGACATCGCTTATTTTTTATATAATTAATATTTAAAAAATATGTTGTACGTCACAATTAGTTCTGCGGTTAGCTTTTAAATGCTGTGTACTCATTTATTAAATTTAATTTTTATTGTCAAGTATTCTATATATATAATTGAATTAGTCTACACATCTAAAGTGTTACATAAAGTATTACAGTATTGTAATTTACTTGCATAAAATTTTATTGTTGTATGTGGTCAAGTGTGAAATTAGTTTATGTATGAAGTATTGTTAAATTAGTACATATCTCTTATACAAAAGAATAATATCAAGAAATGGCCATGACGATAAGAACTAACCGCAAAAGCCATAACTATCGCATCGTTACCGTTAACCTGCTTGATAATCGAATGTAATATATATATCTTTAACTCTCATTCTGAGGATGCGTCATAGAATAGTGACGATTATTTGAATATGATATAACGTTTATAGAGAGAAGTGATTGTCCAACACATGCATCTACGAATTATTAATTTCTGATTGCATCTCATGCGTTACATCAGTTTGTTATCACAGGATAATTGAAGTGCAGCAGTTTAACACATTTTCATTAGAGCGAGTTTAAACGTCGACGATAATCAATTTTTTAATATTATATTTCGTTCGTAAATGATCTGTTTATAAAAGCGACATTCAAGATAGAAACTGTTCGTTAAATTAAATAATTACACTGACACTGGTGAGATTACGCTTTACATTATTTAAATTGAACTTTTATTTCCTGAATTTTTAGAAGTATAAAAAAGATTGTAGCAAAGCATGCAAACAGGTTTTAGAAAGGAGAGTGGTTAAAAATTTATCTGCTGACATAGCAGTTCTGCAGATGTTCTTCTGTCGAGTGCATGCTGGTGCGAATTTCAGCGAAATCCAACACGTGCTCTTCCGTTATATCACGCTATATGTTATCTTTAAATTATATAGTGTAATATGAAACCTATTGTGTGCAATACGATTTAAATGAAATTCGATCTCGTTCTTTTGAATTATCGCAATGTTTCGTATAGATAACCAAATGCTCATCAGCTTCAAAATATACAATATTCAGATTGCCAAGCAAGTGAAAAATATCGAATTGTTTTGTTTAAATTTTGACGATAAAAATAATGTACATAATCATAAATATTATTTAATACAATTCGAGAGCATTGCTTTTAAATACAAATCGATTTTTGGAGATACACTTTTAGACGCCTAGATATTTTCTGTGTGATCATTCATTATCAACTTCCTTCGTGCTGTCAACGTTCCAAATTTTCCTTCAGACAAATTAACTTGACCTAATACACATTCTAAGAATTTACAATGATATAATGAAATGAGCTGATTGTCTCTTTTTATTCCCTTCTAAAATATAATATACGTGTTTAAGTTGAAAAGTAGAAAAGAGAAATGTAGCAATGTGCAAATAGCAATAATGCAATAATATAAATTACAATGAATACCTATGTTTCCCTTTCCAAGAAAATTTCACTTCTGAATTTTCTTCTATTATAATTAACGTATAATATTTCATAATTATCTTGCGCTACTTCTATAATATTTTAGTTAATACTAGTTTAATACTATTTTGTAGCTATATATACTTTGCGATTAGCAAATAAACACCGAAGAATTCGCAAGAAATGGCATGACGTGCAAGAAACTTAATAACTGTGGTAGTTTTCTTGATTTATATAAACTGTAACAAAAGCTGCATCGACTGATAGCACGAAGGAAAAATATGAAGTGATTAGATATGTTCGACAGATAATCATTGCACAGTCGATTAGTATTCGATTTTATGCTCTAAAGTGCAACGAGAGAGATCAGGGCAGTCCAGGGTCGTCGCGTTTGACCCCACTTTGCCACATCCTATTTAGACCACTTATGAATCATATTAACATACCACCTTCGTGTATCTACGTAGAATGGTCGCGATAAGTGACGGGACCTTATTCTTCAATTAATTTCGATTTTGTTGATTTTGTCCTGACAACTGTAATCTGAGGATGTAATCACTGAAATATCTGATCGCCAGGATGTATCGCGGATATAAAAGTCGCGCTAAATAATAGTCTTCACGTTGAAGAGAAATATGGTCGTCTATCTAGGTCTTGTTCAGTGACAGTTCATGCGGCAAAAACTGGTTATTCTGTGCATCGCCTGCGTGATATGGCGTCTTTTTAACGGGAGAGTAATCCCAATATTGAATTACTAATTAGCAATGTAGTCGAGGTATGCATACGTTATGACTCAGAGTTTCTACTTCATGTCAAACGTGTAATTCGCACAGCCATGTATTCCCGCAATTGTTATTTCATATAAGAATCTGTGATTCATGCACTGTTAAATCTATAGTATTAAATTTAACCTAATTTAAGTTGCCATTGCTCCTACTCAATATATCGTTATTTTATATTAAAACAACCTATACAGGGACACCAACAGTTATAATAAAATCAATGCTTAGTCAACATTACAACTATCAACTGACGGCCAAAGTTCTGCCAATCAGTATCATCACTGGCAAATGATTGGCTGTCAAATTTAACCACTGTTTTAGTTATAGAATAATATATTAAGCCAATATAAATGGCAATATAAATTAAATGACATATATAATAAACTATTTGAATCAAATTGTAATTATTGAAGCGTTTGGTAAAATCGAGAAAAATTTTTATCAAATTCCCCGTTTTTTTCGTTAAATAACTCTATTGAACAGTGCAGCTTTATTATCTTTTCCTTTTTTTCAGGCCTTGCTACACGTGACATCGACACATTGTTATCGCACACGATTGACGTGTTCCGCGCGCGAATCACGAGGACGATAAATTTCGTTATCACTCGCTCGCGTCCGAGTTGGGCCTATCGACCCATCGTTTTCTTTTTTCTGGCAACAGATTTTTCGCCCCAGTTGAAGCGTGCCGTAAATTAAACGACATGCGACGCGCAGACGAGGGTGTGTCACTTCATGGACGAGTGGCCCCGTTCGAGCGGTTTAAACGCGAGCTCGCGTCATGAGTTTCGATTCTATTCGAGCTCTTCGTACTACAACGAGGAGCAGAGAAAGCAGCGTCGGCATGTATTGTTGTAAGCCGGAAATGTTGAGTCTATGTGTGTGTACGATTTGTTTAAAAATTTTTTTTGAGGAATTACTTTTCCTACACTTCCTTCGTTCATCTGTCGTATTGTCGTGTCGCTATCTAATTTTAAAATAGGCATTTCTTGCTATTCTATAGACATTGTCTGGCGGATTCTAGAATCGAGTCTCATTGCTGAAGCAGAGGACCTCGACAATTCCGTACAAAGCGGATGCGTTTAACTTGGTCTGCCTACGCGCAACGAGGATTCTGTCGACTTTAACTTATGCGACGATCCGATGACGTCGAATGTATGAAGAGAGTTATGATGTCATCGTTTATTTTTAAGGCACAGAGGATCTGGCCTTTACCTCCCGGCTTTGTGATGTCATGCACATTTTCATCTTTTTCAACCGTTGATTTGCCAGCGGCATTTATATAAATGGCACCGACATTTGTTTTCGTTTCATTGAATTCGCGTGAAATTCTCTCACGAAGTAAAATTGTTTCCTCGAGAGAACACATTTCTTGCGTGATTTATACTGGATATGACTTGACATTTACAAAATGAACGTAAGGAGAGTTTAAATGCAACGGAAGCATTAAAACTTGTGAAAATTTGAAAAGGAATTTCTTAACTTATTAGTCATAATTATTTAGCAAATTAAATTTTCGCTTTCTATTAAAATATCTAACCGATATTATCCAAAAATAAATTTTTACGTACAGGAGACTTAATTAGAAGCTTAATTCTTTTCAGTATTTTAACTTTTTTTATTAATTACTCCGAAAATAGTTGTTCCTCTCGACAGATAAAAATCGACTGCGTTACTGGCATCCGCCACGGAATTCGCGGTTGACGAGTAATTAGTCGACTCTCTCTACATTCGCAGAATGAAAGAATTCCATTTCGCGCCAACAGGACCGAATAAAAATGCATGTGCAGCTTCTTATATACTTTTTTCTTCTATGTACACATCATTAGGTCGAAACGAGCGCAGTCTTTCACACGAAACAGCTGGATTCGATGCAGCGAACGCAAGCAGAGATAGATTATTAATTCTGCTTCTCTAAATATTGATTGTGCTATGAGTGAACACGCACTCCCTTTGCGCATTTCATGTGATCCGGCCACGCGCGTAATGGCACTATAGATACGCCATAATTTATCGTGGAACGCGTTCAAAACAACCGATAACTCAATAAAGGCGTCACATTCATCGCGCCTTCTCGTAGTTGAATCATCGAACGATCGAACTGGGTAAGCACTCGTTCCAGCACGACTTTTCATTTCGTACATTTCGTACATACTCGTCAAAATACTTGCGGTCATTTTTTTTCTATTTAATTATTCTTGTGACATGCGAACTTCCGCGATGTACACACGGGATGACGGAAGTGAGAACATTCAGTTCACCACGTAACAATTTATATAATAAGGTCATGCAATTTGCGTCACCATGGTAGAATAAATTATGCTGCTCGTATTCGGTTGAAACGTTCATTATTCGCGTAATGAAACAATGAAGAATAGTGTAACGATAATATAATGAAGAAAACGTGTTACATGTATGTAGACGCGAACTGCCGATTAAGTCAGAAATCAAACGACTAATGAATAATGCATCCACGTTATTCGTACATACATACATATATATTCGTGTCAAAACATATCATGCTCGTGTTTCGGCTGACATGTTTGCTTCGATCAATCGCGATATTAATTCGCGACGCGTACAAATCGAACGTAATGTGTTACAAACATAATCTACGGGGACAATGATAAGTACGTGCACGTGCAAGAATAAAAAGAATTGTTTTAGTAGAAAAAAAAGAGAAACATATAAAGAACTTTTTGGCAGCATTTAATAACTATTAAAAGATGTGAGAAGGAAAAAATGTACGTGAATACATTCATGTGTTTAGAGTTGTAAGTTTGATTTGAGAACTTTTATGTAATATATATAAATAAATATTAAATTTAATATTAGATATTAACAGGGTTGTCACAGATCTGGAAAATCGGGAAAATCGAGAATAGGCAGGGGAAAATGTAAAAAAAATCTAGAATTTCTTAAAATTTGCTTACAATTTCCTTAAACTGCTTCTATTCCAAATCATTGTTATAATTTTTGAAATATTACATCTGATGTTTACCATTCAAAATTTGCGCACTCTTTAAATGATTTTAAATAATTCAAATTTATACTTATTCAATATTTTTATTCGATCCCTTTTTTTGTTGTAACTATTCTTTTTTTTTTTTTTTTTCAAAATTAATTTATTTTTTGCTGACTTGAATTTGCACTCAAAATTTTACTAAGCTTTTTTTGCATTTTTAATAATATAGCTTTTTTATTATGTGTTGGAATTAATTCGTAGCGTTTTACAAGTGATGGGAAGTACTTTCATTAATGTATTTTTTAATGCTCATGTGAAATAAATAACATTCTTTCATTAAAAACGCTACGAATTAATTCCAACACCTAATACAATCTTTGACTCTAAATGTTAAAATTTACATATTTTATATTAGTCATGGAAAATTTTTCATTTTTATCTGGAAAAGTCAGGGAATTTAAAAATTCATTTTCCGTGGCAACCCTAATTTAAGTATAATATGAATATATCGCTCTTTTGCTACAATAATAATATAACTAAAAAATTGTTAAACATTTTTAGTTACTTGAAAAAAAGAATAAAAACACATAAAGAAAAAAGAAAACACATACTTTAAGAAAACATAATTTATTCTTCTGTAATTAGTAATCGCATGAAAATTGTGCTCTTTAAAATTAATATTACAACATTTTAATGATTAAAAATATTTAAATTTATTTTCTAAAAAATTTAATTTTTTAAATAGTGTATACAGCAAATGAACGATATTAACAATTAATAAATAATGATTTGATTAATTACCTTTAAATGTTTCTCATTTAAAAATATATAGTCTCGGCATTTTAGTGTTAGAATTTTCATTTCAAAATGACTTCAGGAATTTACCATTAACAGTTGTCACGAGCAGTCTGGGATAAGTCAACTATCCTTAATCTGCCATTTAGCTTTACGATCAAAGCTATCTCAAATCCGGACATCGGTTCGTTCAGACTCGGATTATTCTGAATCTAAACTGTTTCAATGGAAAACCCTATTATAGAACGCGAGCATTGTAATGCATCCTTTCAGCTGGGGACAGGTGCATTACGTAACTGCTGAAAGTTAACGTACGCTTCATGGAGAGTCGATGACCACGTGGAGTGGGAGATGCGAGTAGCCATTGTTAGTGTAAACGCACTCAAAGAAATTTCAAATGATCGTCACGCACAGGAAGGTGCATGACTCATGATGTCTTCTCGTTATTTTTAGCTTGCATCCCTTTACACTTGCCTACACTTGAAAAAGTTCACACAATGAGTTGACAATTTTTTAACATGTCCGTCCAACAAGTTTTATTTATCTAATCATGTACATCATAGAATTTTCATTATTATAAGTATATAATGATAACATTCTTTACTATAAAACTATATATTCTCATATATTAAATATTGTATTTTTTATTTTATTTAATTTTATTATTATTTAATTATTTAAATTGTTTAAAATTTAGATGACGTTTATTTTTTACAAATATTTTTTGCAAATGAATAAATTTCTAATACTAAATAACAAGATTATAAGTCGAAACTAAAAGTTTTTTAATACAATGATGCTTTACAAAATAATTTAATTTTTGAAATTTCGGATTGTCACTTTGTTATATATAAAAAAAAGATATAATAAGATTAGGTGTTGTTTAGTCATTCTCAGTGTTTAAAAATATGTATTTTATAAAATAATTTTTCTAAAGACCTGAATTCTTTATCTTGTTACTTTGATAATAGAATGAGTTAAAACATCGAAAGCAAGTAATGATTATCCCTACTAAAAATTCACAAATATTATAAAAAAAAGAATGTATAAATATTTGCTGGAAAGCTATTATTTTGTTATAAAATGGTAGAAATTTTATTTTACGCGAATGCTCGTCACTCAGTTACGATATTACTGTCGGATAAATTACTAGTTTGGAATGGGAAGCTAATGATCCGTGAAAAAGCATTTCATAAAGGAAAACGGCTCTCTTGTTTCAGGTAAAACGTTTTGTCAGTCTTGTAAGAAGAAGTGCAGTGGGGAGGTACTGCGGGTGCAGGATAAATACTTTCACATAGGGTGCTTCAAATGTGCCCAGTGCAACGCAAGCTTAGCGCAGGGTGGCTTTTTTGCACGTGAAGGTTCCTATTACTGCACTAAGGTGAGTTACATTTTATTCGACATTTATTCTTGGAGATTTTTTAAATGTAATGAAAAGGTCTCACTAGAAAAGAATGAAAAGTTTAATGTGTTTGTTATTCTGTTTACTAGGATTATCGGGAGCGTTGGGGTACACGTTGTGCTGGTTGCGGGGAGTATGTGGAGGGTGATGTGGTGACAGCTGGCGAGAAGCATGCATTTCATCCAAATTGTTTCCATTGCCAAAGATGTCGGCAACCATTGCTAGGACAGGGAACAAAAGTGTCTCTTGTTCAAGGTATGTGATAAAACAATTATTTACGATTCATTGAGGCAGAATCCAATCTACATCTTTGTTTAGTGCGTACTGATGCGTTGACATAACACAGCGTTTTTTAAAGATACCAACAAACGCATGAAAGATTCACTAATTTTAATTGTCAACAGTTTCTCTATCAATTGTGGATTACGATGCGTATTGAATTATTGTGTAACCGATGTGCCTCTTTGGTAGAACTTTCACAATTAGTGTAGTAGTCAATCTGTTAAAGCAAATTGCCACTTAAGCTTATCGTTACTCCACCGTTACAAGGCCGCGCATTTACATACATACGTCCTTGTGACAATTACGCGGCCAAAGGTAAAAATCCGACATGACGTGCATCTTTTTATTGTGTACCGTAACGAAGTCACCCATTTCCAAGAAATTAAGGCCGATTGAACGTTACGAATAAATTACGCTAGATTTCACATTTAGTTCCTCATCAAGAAAGTCGTTAAGAAAATGAAAGTGAATTCCGTCTAATTCCGTATAATTTAGGAAATGTCAATTAAAATAATTTATTAAAGAAAATTTTATTTTTATAAGCTTTTATCAATTCAAGTACATTCTATATTTTTCCGAATCGAATTTTTAAAATTTTTGTTTTAATTATTATTATTTTATCTTTATTGCTATTAATAAAGCAATAATTTATCGAATGTTGTGTAATTTTTGTAATGTAATCAACATAATAAAACAACATAATAAGTGATCTTAAATTAGTTTTTTTTTTCAAGTAAATAAAATTGCAATAATAAATGAAACTAGATGACAATTACATAAAACGAACAATTGCAGTACAAAGGTTAATGATAACGTTTTGGGATTCGTTACCGGGTCTCATTAATCTTCATTAACTATGCATTATTCATAGGTCAAGCGCTATGTCACCGATGTGTCGGTATCCCGGTTCGCGAGGCCTCCACGCCGATTGGCAATAGCGCCGGTACCAAAGGTGGCGGACACGCTGACCCTGGTGCTTGCGCCGGTTGTGGAAACCAATTGAGGGAAGGTCAGGCATTGGTCGCACTCGATCGTCAATGGCATGTCTGGTGCTTTAAATGTCATAGCTGCGACACTGTTCTCCACGGGGAATACATGGGAAAGTAAGTTTCGCGTTGATCCACATCTTTTCATCTTAATTATCTACAAGAATATTAAGCAGGAGACACGAGCGTTTCGTATCAAGTACATTTTTCATTAGTATATACTTTTTGTGAAAGAGATGCTACAGCGTCGCTCTTTTATAAAAGAATATTAGTATAGCTTTCATAAAAATAAAATATTATTCTTTTTAAATAAATTGATGTTATCGATAAATGCATATATTGGAGAAGATTATACATTACTCTAAAAATATGATAGCTTCTTTATAAATTTAGGATTGGAATTCTTCATGAGTTATAGGATTGGAAAAATATAAGGATAAAACTTTTAGAGAAAAAAATATGTCTTAAAACAATATCTAATAAATGTTTTTTTAAATTTATTTATTTAAAAGTTTTTTTAAACCAGCACAAAAACGGATAAAAAAGGTGGGATTTAAATTTTAAATGACTCGTGAACCGTAACCATTAAAATTTTTGTTCGACAGAGACGGCGTGCCTTACTGCGAGAAAGATTACCAGAAGCAGTTTGGAGTAAAGTGCGCCTATTGCAATCGTTACATTAGCGGCAAGGTTTTGCAGGCCGGTGATAACCATCATTTCCATCCAACTTGTGCCCGCTGCACGAAATGCGGCGATCCGTTTGGCGATGGAGAGGAAATGTACCTACAGGGTGCCGCCATATGGCATCCACGCTGCGGTCCAGGACCTACCGGACCCAATGGCATCGTGAATGGACACGGGGACGCTCACACCCCGCAGCATCGGGAATCGGAGCGAATTTCCAGCAGCGCTTCGGAGATGCAGGTAAGTCCGGTTGCGTTCGCGTGATCGGTGTGATTCGCTGTCTAGTCGTATTTATTCTGTACATTCATGTATTATAACTAATTTAAGCTATTGCAAAAGCTTGTTTATTTTTACTTAATTTTAACTACGAAAATTTTAATGAAGCAATTGTAGCATTTTAATGTTTAATTGTTTTGGTAGGTATATTATCGTACATAATCATAAATTATTGAATTAACATATATAAAGAGATAACATTTATTTTATTTCACGTTACATTCTTGTTATGTTTGACTTGCTTATTGTGAATAAAACGCTGTACACACGGCGTTTATATTTTATATAACATTAGCAATTATTGGATTCATATAAGATATTAACGTAACAAAGAAAGCAAACTTTCCATTTTATAGACTAACATAGAGCATAATTTTCATTAGTGCAGGTCATACGCGCATATAATATTGCCTATATACAGGCTATTTTTAAACAATTGCATTTTTAAATGATAGATTTACACAAATCACTAAGAATAACTGCGTTTGAAAAAACATCAAGGATTAAGGCGACAGAAATATATTATCGTTAAAGCGACACTCACATATCTCAACCGGAATAGAAATAGCATTGCGTTCCAGAGCATTCTAAAATAATACATCGTATCTAATTTTAATTCTTTCCTGATCTAAAGAGTATAGAACAAATTCTATAACTCTATACTCTTTTCAAGCTCTTTTTCAAACGTAACTGCTCTTGGTTATTTATATAAAATCTATTGTTTGGGAAAAATTTATTCGAGAAATTAAGAGAATCGCAATAAATTAAATATATTCCATTTTTTAAATGAGGGAGTCAAAACATCGTATGATTCAATAGTTAGATTCAATAATATTTTGATAATTTTAGTATTATTAGAAATTGTAAATCTGTTATGTTAGAAAATAAAAGAAGCGCATGCTGCTGTTTATGTCTAGCACTTGCATTATTCGATTTAGCTGCATTATATATTAAGTTATATTTGTTTGCATAATTGAATTTATCAGTTGTATTATAAGAAAAGCGAAGTGTTTCACATATGTTAAATATTTCCCTGAAAGTATACTTTATTATTTTCTGTTATTGCAATATGTAATATACGATGGGATTCTCTTAAAAACGTCCCTTTGTATTTTAAATCTTATAGTCCTTTCTGACGAAACACTTTGTCATTCGATATATTCTTGTATGTTTTAGTATAGTATTCTGTATAGCGGCAATATAGAACTGAATACCTCGAATCCAAGATACATTAATTATTTCGTCAGCTTTGTGTATAGCTTGATTTTTGCCTCAGAGAATTAGCTGGCTTATCACTTTACCGTTCTTTCGTTTTACGCACGCCTCAATATAGGAAACAAGCGAAACATCAAAGATTATATTATCATACTTCATTTTTATTAAGTTTTTATTATCGCTTTTCTTAATCGTTGTTTACTTTTTCCGCACGGTCATTATGTATAGTTTTCATTGCGGTCACGCACGCCAAGCCTGAACGGATCACTGTGCAGCCCTTACAGCAGCCTAAGTCGCAAGGTATGCCATATGTCACTTAGCACAGCATTCTCGACAAGTATTTCTGGTATCACTTCTCTTATTACCACTTCTCGGCGACGCGTGCTTTCGCTCTGTTAGGCACTTACGATTCTATTTCGATTTTTCAATCCATTAAATAGAAAAATGAGACTATCGAGACATTGTTCGGATTGTATACTTTTGTTAAATTAATATAAGATATCATTTTTACTAGTAAAACACAATAATTTTAAAAATTGAATTGCATTACTTATCATTTTAATTTAGTGATTATCTGTCGTTGATTTTAAAAATCTAATTGCATCATTTATTTTAATTTAGTTATTGTCTGTTGTTTTTTAGAACGTAAATATAATGTAAACAAAGAATGAAATTTAATATATTTAAAAAAATTTTTGGGAATTCTCAAATATGTTAATATATAAATGCTTTCTTGACAGAGCATTACTCGCTTTGCACGATTTTTTTTTTTTATACAAAGTGCGTCAATAATTCGAATACATAAGAAATTAATTCCTTTTATAGAGACTAAATTTTGAATTAATTTACTTTAAAAGAGATTTAGAGATTTATCTAATTTCTTACGCACTTCGTATAATTGATAGTAATAATCAGATGTAAAATGCAATTTACACCACATGCGTGATAAAATACATTGATTGCCTCAGTATTATCCCGCACGAACTGGAAGCCCCGGCCTGATCCTGCGAGAATACGGACGACCGGCGGAAGATGTATCTAGGATTTATACTTACTCGTATTTGACTGAAACACCCAGTCAAGGATATCTGAGACGTCCGATACAGCCGTACGATAAACCCCCCACTAGCCCGCATTTTCATAGACCTAGCTGTAAGTTTTCTCTATATATTATTTAAATTATTAGATTTTAATGAAATTCTAAAATGGTTATGCAATTCTGTTACAATTAAATATTGTATAATCATTCCTTTAATATCTTAAGTATCAAGAACAGAAATTTTCTATTTAGTTTCTAAATTAAACGTAACAAAATATTGAATTTTTTAAATATTTAAAAGAAATAATTTGTTTGAAATTGAAACTTTTATTTTTAACTTTTAATTCTATGTCGTTTATTTGGTTTCGAGTTATCTATGTTCTCTAAAATTAATTTGTCAATTAGCCTTTATGAAAACGCATTTATTTTGTTGCACAGCATCTCGTTCGATAAGAAGCAGCGGTGGACGCAGCAGCAGATCGGGAATGAGAGCTTTGGTCGACGCGTTGAGTGACACTCGACCGAAATCGCCAGCAAGCCAAGTGGATAATGACGAACCGATAGAATTAGCGCATTATCCAGACGCCATGAAACCACCCCCGGGAGCTCAACCACCAATCGAGAGAGACGATTTTCCCGCTCCGCCGTATCCTTACACTGATCCTGAAAGACGTAGACGATGGTCCGACACCTATAAGGTATTATTATCTTATATTTAATCTTCAAAATAATATAATGCTACTTTTTCCATTAATTTTTTAATGATGCTGATCAGTGAATTGACGTTCCGATCCTTTTTAATTCAGGGAGTACCTGCATCTGATGACGAGGATGACGTGGATAATAAAACGTACATCAAGGAAGCGGAGCAAAAATTGAAAAAGGAACAGGACGAATTGAGCAAGATCGACACGGGAATAGCTAAAGTATTCCTGCAAGATCGCGAAAAAGATCGGGAGAATTTGAGACATAGAGCTGCGAACGTTGATCCTAGAAATGCCTCGAGGACACCGTCTGCCGCCAGAGAGCCAACGTATCGATTGCGCTATGAAAGTCCTGTTGGTGCATGTAAGTTACAATAATTTAATTTCATATTTTTAATATTTAGATATAGACTTTAATTATTTAGCTTGTCTAATTCTATTTAATTTTGAGAAGGGAACCTATTGTTCTTAGATTTAAATTTGAAAGCCTATGAACAATATCATTTAACATTTATGTAAAAGATAATTCGAAGAACATTTTGTGCAGCACCTTCGCGAAATATCGATCATGCACGGCCTTGGGAGGATGACGATGGCTTCAGCTACAGATCCAGTGGGCCTAGCTACAACGGTAAGTTTTTAACTGTCACGCAACACCACGTATTTGTCTCATTAACATAAGTAACGATCATCTCATACATGTCCACACGTTCGCACATGACACTAACATACCACTCTACCGTTAAAGTAACATGGATTAGAGAACACTGTCTCTCGATAGAGCGGGGTTTCCCAGGGCGGGCGATTGTAAATGGTCCCATTTTGTCGATAAAAAAGAAACGTTTGCTTTTTGGAGTACGACCAAATCGGCCAATGCAAGCCAAGACATGGGAGGGTTTTACGCTAATTAACAAAAACGATGATAACAGTACGTAACACTTGAAAGCAGGACTTTAAGAGGCGTGTGTAGCACCAAAAAACCATACACTGGACGCCCAATTAATACAACAGGTGATGTATTCTGCCTATGCATGTTGTCGTCCCTTACCTCAATGTGCTTGCCTTATCATTTTTTTTCGAACTGCGAACGGTGCATCAACCAATACCTCGAAATAACGGGTAATTAAATCGCCATTGCGATCTTTAGTCCTGGAAATCGTTTCTCGAGGTAATTGATCCTGTTCTATATCTTGCATGATACTTGGGACCACGAAATTCATTATACACGGACACATATTGTTCCAATGCACATCACTCTCATTTCTGCGGCACAATAGTACTTTTAGATAGAATTTAAACTGAACTTCAAATTGACTAAAAAGTCTATTTATTATCGTTTTTCATCTCTTTTCTGCTTTAGTAAGATTTAAATCGTTTTCGTAATCATTCTATCTAAATTGAATTAAAATTATTACAAAATGTATATAGACATTTATTATAGATAATTATTTCTAATTTCTTTTTTTTAAATATATTTTTTTTTAATATTTCTTTATATTACAAGAATTATATCTATTATCTATAATATTTTGCGTTTTGTTTTATTAAGACCAACAAATATAGATCCAAAACTAATTTCTGATTTGATTTGATAATTGACTGAATTTTATTAATGAAAAATTTTTATATTAAAATGTTTTTTTTAGTTTTTAGATATTTTTTAAATCTTATTTACAATATTGGAAGATAATTTGGCAACGCGAATAATAATTTTACTTTATTACGCATGATAATTATTTCTTGTATGCACCGCACATCTTTGCTTTCTGACAGATACAGAATTTTGCTTTGCGGTATCTTCCAATGTTGGGTCACTAGTTAATTTTAGAACGTTAATACGTTTGTCAACTAATCCAATTTTGTGCAATATTAAAAGATTGCATAATTAAGAAATAAAGCATTGAAAAGGCAGTTGAGAGAATTTTAATCAATTATTTAAATTAACTGGCTAATTCTTACAGCTTTTAATAATCACGTTATGAAAAATTTAACAACAGAAGTCTTTCTGATCATATCTTTGTAAAAGTTATGAAGAAATCTGTCTTTCGTTAAAATCGTTAATTTCAAGTTAGCGTTCTAAATTTAATAGGACACAGTATGTTAGTCACACGATGCTATTACCCGTCGTCTACTATCATTGTGTCTCTATTTGTGTTTTTGTGTTTGTGTTGTGTTTGCGTGGGCGGCAGTTGGGAGGTCATCGGCGCGCTCCCCGGCTCCCAGAAACTATCCACCCCTTGGTACTCAACGCGCCTTCACTCTTCCAAACGCCACTAGACACTATCATTCGGTGAGTCCGAAAACTTTCCAATTCGCCCGCCGTTGGTCCCAAGTCAAATCAAATCCATTTTTTAATTTTCCCACTCACCAGTTCAATTTTTCTACATATTTTTAAAAATTTTAGTGTTATAATATTTCACCTTATTAATTATTTTTACGCGATTAAAAATTACAAGTTGTGCACGTGTAAAATAGGCATGTAAAATGTTATTTGCTGATGAAGAAATAAGAATTTAGTCATTGCTGTCTTGATATTGAAACAACAATCACTTTAAATTGAGATTTTTGATAACATAAGAATAGTTTATTTGCGATTTTGTCATCTATCATTTTAGATGCATCCCATACATTGTAATATATTGAACCACATATATTTTTGTCTGCATTTTCAGTAAGAAAGGAAAGCTTTTGACTTGTCATCACGGCGGGCGCGCTTACGAGAAGAGTCTATTGTAACACGCAGGTGCTGGCTTTTTATGTATCTGTTTTTTTTTTAATCGCGAATTGTCTCGTACACTCTACTTAATGAGAGTGAACGCTTTGTGCACTCGAAATTATCGGATATCTTTAAGCGCCGTTTGCCGATGGGAATGCGATATATTTAAAATTATCATTACAGATATCCTTTGTTACACGCGATGAAGTTTAAGATAATTAGATTTTGTAGGATAGATTTAATGACACGATTGATGCATGCTTTTTTCAATTATTTCTCCAAAGATATTCCAGATATTTACTCCAAAGATGTATATTCTTAATTTTATTACTAATTGTATAAAAGATTATGTATATAAAATACCAATACAGAAGAATTGAGCACTTTAATAAAATTATATCGCATGTATATCGATGGATATCTGTCTTTTTAAATCTATTCGGATCCATGAGAAACATTGTAAAAAATGGGATGTACCAAGTATATCATTGTTGAGGCGTAAAGAAGTAGGGGGAAATCCCTTAACAGTGGTTAATCTTGGGGACATATAAGGGAGCGACATGGCTCCGGGTAGAGTTAACGAATACAAAAATTTGGCAAGCGAACGTTGGGCATTCGTATGGGAGATTGAACAAATTGAAATCACCGCTGAAACTAATCAGTAACACCTGTCGATTGACTGATTTGCAAACCAGTTGTGAGCTCCCTTCGGCACATCCCGAAGCCGGGGTACGGTCTGGCACCGCGAAGTCACACCTTCTCCTCGACCGGCGGTTCCGTGTCTGCTCTCCCTGTAAGTCTTGCACCGCAAGTCACAGTCGGCGATGCGACGTGCACCGCGCTGATAGTGCAATAATACGTATATAGAAGAGAGTATACATAGAGTCAACTCCGCGGCAACCGAGCGGAATACGCCTCTCTAAGATAACGCTTTTCTGTCGTCTAGGGCGACTATTCGTTCAGCGGGATGGGCGACAAGACGCACAGCACTGATTTCTCGTCTGGCAAGTCGGACAGTGAGTAAAACGAGAGGGACCGACCTACGCCGGTCCCCTGCACACACATTAGCCATCTCACCTTTTTACATCACGCTTCTCAAGCTTGACGCGCTCGCAAATTAGATGGAGTTTCTGCAGTGCTATCGTGAATCTACCGAGAATTTCTATCAGCTTTAAACTTAAGATTACACTAACAGCATTGATTTAAGACGTTTTAGCACGTCTGGTGACAGACTTTGTAGATTTACTGCAGTTATCTTGATAACAAAAATTTTATTTAGCGTTTCTTTGTTTTTTATATTAAATCTTTTGGTCTCTAATTTGAGAAACTAATATTCTAATAGAGCTTGCTCAAAATTAACTGAAATTTAGTTTACGAAGAATTATCTTTAACTCAGAAATTACTATTTTGATCATTTTTGTAACGAAGTTTTTACACGCGTCTATATTTTGGAAAAGATGCATGGTTTCTGAGATATTTCAAGATTTTACGCATTGTCTCGTCACGCATAATTCATGATGGAACTGCTAGCGATTTTTGCGAGCGCGTCATTGCCACGTTATCATTTTCTTCATACACTACGTTTTTGCCTTGTACTCGCATGCTTTACTAACATCCCTGCGAGCTATCGCACTGTGAAACATTGTACGTCGTACATTGGCCTGTTGTACATCATCATACAATATTGTTTATTTAAAGAACTGTAATAATGACACTTATTTGATTATGAATTATGAAATTAATAATCATTTACATATCAATTTTCTCTCAATAATCATGCTAAAGTAATGGGAGAGCGATAAGATAAATTATATTAATCCAAGAAATATCAAAGAAAGTGTCAGAAATGGAGATGTCAATTATTATGTTTTGTGTTTGACTAGAAATAAGAATTATAATTACAATAGTATATCCCCCAAATGAAAAAAATTATGATCTTTAATACATTCTTACAGACAAGCCTTTTGTAAATTTGGAATTTTGCAGTATTATTGAATTATAAAACAATCATGTCTCCGGCATTACCTTTATTATATCTATTTTTAATCAAACAGTCGTGTTTGTGTGGCTCTACGCAATTTTTTCATAAATTATAAAATGCATAGGCAGGTAATGAAAAAAGGAAACACGATTGATGAAAAACAAATTGTAGTTAGCATAGGAAATGGTTTGTGCAACATGGTTTGATATGGTTTTCTTTCACATTTTCCCCAATTTTAGTATCAACAGGCAGCATCACGGATGTGGATCGACGGGCATTGGTATGTACCACAGCCCCATACTACTCCCGGCGAATTAGCATGGTTTGTAGCTTGTTTTTGCATCTGTATCATAATAAAACTCCATTTATCGGAATGATTTCGATTATATTGCATTTAAATATATCTCCTTTTAATATTAAATTTAACATTATTTTAATATGAATTATAATGTTTTTTAAAAAATGTGTTGAAAGAAGAATAATTTCTTTCTAAAATTTTAATGGCAAAAAGATTCATCGAATAACTTTTTTTTAATTATATGTATTCAATTTGATTACTCTAATAAATGGAGTTTATGCAAATGTCATTTTATTTAACGTTCTAGCACGTCTATAATTGCAGATGTGTTGCATTAAATGCACACATTCGTCTAGAGAAACAAGACAATATACAGTTCGTACGTTTGAAAAATTTATGATGTGTATATGCATATTATTCATACTTATTTGTATTTATTTGTATGATTATGTTTGATTTGCTCTTGTCCCTATCATGATAAGATATTGTGTATATAATACTGTATAATGAGTATGCATGCATGCTGTACATTTTGCTATTATTTTGAGTTTTGCATTTTTTTATCAACTGTATTTACTTTTAATTTGCTCTATGTTGCATATTCAGTTTATCGTAAGAGTTCTTCATCTTTTAATTAAGTTAATTAATTAATCGAACTATATTTTTATATCCAATTTGCACTAATTAGCTTTATGAGCGAAATGTGTTATTTTGTCTTTTTCTTGTTGTAATATAATGTAATTTATTTTGCAGAAAATTTTAATTTTATAAAATAGAGATAATTGAAATTTTTGTAATGGAGCTTCGAGTAAATTATATAATAACTTTCGAAGATAACAGGAAATGGATACTATAATTTTAGCAATTTAATGCATTATTATTATATTACTATGAAATGATTATTTTTTTATGAAAACAGATTATTTAACATTAAACATGTCGTTAATAATAATTTGTTTAAAATATTATAAAATAGCTATTTAAATATTTTATGTATTAAATTTGTATATATAATATTTTTAATAAAAAAAACTTTTTTTTTATACAAACGATTTTTCAAGAGACTGCATGTATGGTATATACATTATTCGCATTTGAAAGACAGCTGTACAGCATTGTTTATAGAAGTAAAAAATTGTATATAGTGCGTAAATTTGGAAAAAAAAATTAAAGTGTTTGCACGTAGGATGCTTCAATCTATTTTGATTAAATCAATGTACTAAATATTATAGGAACGAAAATGTTTAAAATCCCAATTAGTATACTTTTAGTAACTATTAGAAATTGATTAATTGATATTGAAGCAGTCTATTGAGTCATACGAATTCGTACGTGTATATAAGAATTTGTTAATTATATTATTCTATTATTATGTAACGAGAGTATAACAGTCTTGTAGTGTGTAAAAAATGTGTTACTGAAAAAGGCGTGGACAAGAATATTTTTGGGGGATGCATGACACTGGAAATTTTTAATTGAAATATGTACATTTGAAAAAATCTTATTGCATTTTACGAGTTTATTATCAAACTTATATTTGATATCGGATTACTCTCTAAAAATATCATCTGGCGAATCTTTCCTCATTCAAATTTGTTTTGCTTTTCTAAGAATTCGAAGAATGCAACCCCTTACATCTTTCTCGCATCGTCCATGTCATTGTCGTATTATTCACATTCTGTTTCTGCTATTGTGACTCATGATTTTGTATGATTGTGGCGCAGAATGATGGTGGAATCCTTCCATCATCCACCACGTATACGGGTGGCCTAGGTTCGGTTGTTGGGGGCCACGGGGGTCATCACGTAAGAAGATCGCTGCCGGACATGGGGGCGGCACCAACCGAACCGCCCAAACTTTATCCCTATCATTTACTTGTTATCACCAACTACAGGCTGCCAGCTGACGTGGATCGTTGCAATCTCGAGGTGAGTACTAACATTAATTGTTTAATCGCTTCATTTATAAATTATGAAATTATACACTGTCATATAATAATCTTTTATTTTTATGAATAATATTCTTTGTTATTTCTTCTCATTGCGTTATTTATTGAATTTAATTGTGTGATACATTAATCATCGTGATTACAATAACATGAATAATTCGGACTTTTTTTAGCGACACCTTTCCGATGCAGAATTTGAAGCTGTTCTACAGTGCTCTCGATCGGAATTCTACAGACTGCCACAGTGGCGTCGCAATGAAATCAAAAGACGTGCCCGTCTCTTTTAATTCATGTCACATCTTTTGCTTAACACTCATCGCGTCGTGTCGCGATTGCATTACTGCGGTACGGACCGTACATTCCTACTGCGTGGGGAGATGCATCGCGGAGAAAAAAATGTGTTCGACAACCATTTCGACCATTCTGCCGATTGACATGCGTTCGTCAAAATGAACTTTAGACTGGGGCGCATGCAAACATACGCAGACGCATACGCACACAAACACAATATAATGATGCGAAAGCACTGCCACTTGTCGTCAATTTTTTTCTCGCAGCAACGAATCCACAAGCAGCTTTACCTATGATCCGATTTATTTAGCGACGTAGTCGTCTTCAGGTTCCATCTTGGAACTCTATATCGCAACTTTCACTCATACACATTGATGAATAGGGCTGATATTAATGTAGGGGAGAAGATAATCAAATAGAAAAAAGTTACGATTAAAACTCTTAATACAATTTGCTATTGTAAATAAGAAGTTAATCAAGAAGTCGAAAAAGCGGCGTGGAGGAGCAGCTAGGATATTTCAAAGTACATAACCGCGTATTTGCTAAATCGCATACATATATATTAATCTTTGTGGAAGATTATGACGCAAGGAAACAAACGCTACTATGTAGGATTTATCATTATTATTAGTTTTTAATTACTATTATATTTTACTATGTGCAACATGAAGAGTTAGGAGTAGGTGAGCCCAGCTTGCTGAATGTGCGATTGCACTGGATTAATCGAACGAGTTGCGTGTGATTTGTCACTTTTTAACTTACTCTACGACAAGGATTATTTTATAAAGTAGTTTACGCGCAAATACGATGTCCTTGTGTGAGAAGATATCAAGTTGTCTTTATCCTTTTAATTATCCTTGATGTATTAACTAAAGAAACGCTCTGCGGTGCGGATTGCGATAGACTTCTATAATTACTCGATCACTCTACATTAGAGTATGAATAAGAGAATCAGGACCAAATTTATAGTGTGGTGGATTTAGCAATAACAGGAAATATGTTTAACCATATATGAATTATCATATCCAATTCATAGCAATTTTTGCAATATTTTGGAAGTAGCATAAAACAAGTTTTGAAAATGTTCAAATCGAATATTTATAGCATCTATTTGAGTAATGATTTTTAAAATTTTCTAAAGGAAAGAGCTTGTATAGTATTTTAAAAAGGAAAATTTCTTAAAAAACTCATAAAAGAATATTATATGTATAATATTATATAATATATAAATATTATAATATATGCTGCATACTTATAATATTTATTATATTATATATTTATAAAAATTTAAATATTTATAAATATATTAAATTTTTTTAAATATTATACTCATATTTATAAGACATTTTATAAATATTAGATATAAAAATTTATAATATTTTACATTTAAAGAAAAGATGTATTTTGTGTGTGAAACGTATAAATCACTTTCATCGTATATCTTATCATATTTCAAAAGTTATTTCATGCTATTTTCAGGATACAACGCGAGAATTTCACCAGTGATTACTGATCAAGTAAAACTTTTAATTTTATGGATACTGCAGTGATTATCCTCCACCCTTAAATTAGGTCCTGCACAGAATTAAAAAAGTTTCGAAGTAATAGCCGAAGCAGTTAAGCTAATATCGGGCGTACACGTGTCCAATAAATAGAGCCGATTTATGCAAAGCGAATAAAGTTGAATTTTCATATATAGGTGCGATGTATCGAAGTTTTGACTGTTACGCCGTATGATTATTATATGTAGATGAGTTTACTACGTATTCGAATAAGCATGCGTGCAATAAAATTGACACGCTTCGTTCGAACGAAGTCACCGAACTATACTTTACTACATGCGCGGGTGCGATGTTTTATCAAATCAGCTGCGTTTTATTATTCACACATTTCGCCCCCTTATCTTAAGTCATGTGCCTAACAAATAAATGTCGTGGGACATTTCATGCGAGAAAGAGAGGAATTGTTAATCTTATAAAGCGTCCCACACACACTTTATATAAGACTTACAATTCCTACCAAGGCATCCTAGATTCTTTTGAAGCGACGATCTTTCAGACGTCTTTAGATCTTTGTATTGCCTTGAGTGTAACAATTTCATCACGAAGAAAATCTGACTTGCTCCATGATCGCTAACATACAACTTCAATGTCATTTAAGATCAACACGACTGTAATTTTCCTTTTCTTTTTTTTTCTTATGGTTTTACTCGCATAAAAACATTCGTGTAATCCCCTTTTGATTTGTTCTTATTATAAATAAATTTCACGTTTTATTGATTTTGTATACGATCGGTATTCCTGATCATGGCGCAATGTTATTGTTCCCACTGTGCAATGCGAACCAATGTATGTTTCTGTTGTATAGAGCACATTGCTTCCGCTAGTCCCTAAAGTTAAATAAATGCAAAACATACGAACAAGCTAACGAAGTTACTATCACTATTGCGTTAATTATCAAACAGCTTATATCCTATAATAAAGGCTACACGCACAAGATTCATTTCCTGACCTGTTTCATGTAGATCCACAGAGAAAAGCCTTTTAATTCCTGTCACGTCCCGCTCGCAGACGTTTGCTGGTATTGCCTTGCTTTGACAAAAAACTCATCTAAACCAAAAGGCAATTCAAAAGAACCACTGCAGAACTTCGAACTCGGAGCTTTTCTAACTCGCTGCAGTCTGCTATAAAAAATTCACACGTTAGATAGAAGTGTTGCAGAATGTAAGACTAATACGAAATTACTTTTTCACGAAGGATTACGAAACCCTCCAGCACACTGGAAAGCGGCTCGTATTGATCCGACACTAATTCCGCCTTTTCGCCCGTGCACAGCAACACTGGTGTGGTTTGTACATGACCGCCAACAATAGATTTCGGATTACCTGCTTTCCCCACAACATCCACGGTTTGACCGATTCTTACCGATACCGGTAAATTCTGCAAAGTATTGATAATATCGTTTCTAAATCTGGAATATTTACATCCTACAATCCTTTTGCATACCGTAAGATTTTCATTCACAGTGACCAGCCATCTTGGTTCCATCGCTATTGCCAAGCAGTACATTAAATAATGAGATTGAGATAATATGAGATTTCTGCAATCTAAACACGCAACGAGAACGACCATTAAACCAGCTAAGGCGGTATAGTCCAAAATTTTTGAAGAGTACCGCAAAGGCGATAAAGATAAAGTGCCCTAAAAGAAAAAATATAATACATAAGGATGCAACTTTTTAAAAAAAAAACGATCATTAATAAATTTTCATTTTGTATTAAAGAGAAACGAATCGATTCATCAGAAAGAAATTATTTATTAATATTGTTATCTGTTATTATCTAAGTATAAACATTTTTATTGGTCCGACTTTATCGAGGCCTTTACCTTGCCGAGGTGCACCAAACCCTGAGAAATACGCACAAGAAACAGGTGAGACGGATTCTTCGCGTAATAAGCCGCCAGCTGTCTCAACATCGTCGCTAATCGCGCATTGTTGGTACCTGCGCCTACCAGACCGAGGGCGAAGATCGCATTTAGAGCGACATCGGCGTCATTGTCGTGGCTGTATTTGTTCAGCACGTCTACGACAGCTGGGTCAGCATTCGACAAAGAGGATAAGGCCAATGCGAGAGGCATAGCGCGTCGCGCTGGCGTTGGCCCATATCTTCCAACCTATGATTTGTTAAGCAATCGTAATCGTAGCGAGGATTCAAGGGATCACAAGAATCATTTCCAAAATAAATATTAATTAAAATCGATTACACTTCTAACTGATCTTCCACTTCTAGTTCTACATTACGAAAAGAAAGAGAGTTAAATCGCTGCAAATGAATTATAGGAACCCATAAATGTTAATTAAGGTGAATTGAGATTTAAATGTTTCTTTGTCTCCTTCCGTCTTAGGTATCTATAAGAGCGTCCTCATATTCATTACAGTTTATTGAGGTCTCATATGGACTTAACTCTTCTTACCTGACCAAAGATCCTCGAATTTTCTTTTCCCTCTCCAAGCCCAACTACACCTACCCCAAGGGATGCTATAGCCTGTGAAACTCCAATGTCTCTGAAATTAATACAAACATTGATTATTTTTTAATTATAATTATTTAGCATTAAATATGCGGAAGTAAAAAATTAATTTTTTTTCTTCAAATTATATCCATGAAAAAGTTACTTATTTATATTGCTATTCTAAATTACTATTTATTAATGTCTTATTTAACATTTTATATTTTTTACTTTTAATGATACACTTACTTAACAGATTCTTCGATTTGATTATCGTCCTTTTTATTCTTTTCTAATTTGGCAGAGCTTTGTGCAGGTCTTCTTTGATCGCAACAACTTGATATCGGAGTACTCTCAGGAGTTGTTTTTGTGCTCATTACTTCCTCGATTGTTTCCGAACAGATCCTTAATAATTCCTGCACTATCAATACATCACCAGTGCCCGCGTATGCGCAAATCTAACAATTTTATCAGATTTGAATTGTATACGATACTTTTCGAAGAAGAATACGCAATTATAACAATCTTTTATTATTTAGATTATAAAAGATTTTCTCACGAGATAATTTTTTAGAAAATCATAATAATTTAATTTTACTTGTAGCATAGTTTGCGAAGCAAAGTTATATGGTTCCGGCAAAGCCTCCAGGGCTGCGGATGGTGTTTCTATAGCGTCTCGGGTTCCCATATAAATCATTCCTAAAGCTAACGCCAAAAATCTGCGCGATAAAAATGATTCCTATGTTATACCTACACATTATTTATGTATAATATTTATAATATTATTTATGTATGACTTTTACATTATCCATAAATATAATTTGTAATATAATTATACCTGGAATGTGTAATAACAAGTTCCTTCATAGATAGTCCCAATAATTTCAATAGGATTGCCGAAGATACATCGGAATCTCCCGAGCCTACATTTACAAGACCCAAAGAAATGGCAATCAGCGATAACACTTGTATATTATCTGAAAAAAGTTGTAGTTATATATATGTGACGATTAATTATTTTTAATTGTATAAATATAAAATATAATAAAATATACGAGAGAAAGAAATCTCGTACAATTTTAAAAATGTCAAAATTATCTTTAATTTTTTTTATCATTAAAGAAGAGTTCATTCTTTTATTTTTTTAAGCAAACTGGAATGAAAAAAATGAAGATTATGTGCATAAAATTACATTACTTTGCTCATTGGCTAAAGCTCCAGAAAGAAGTTCGGTGACATCTTTTCTTCTGGACCCAGCGTAAGCCAGACCTAATCCCAGGATGGCTCCTATGCGAAGGATTTGGCTGTTTGATTTTACGTACTCGCTGAGAAGTGCCAAAGCCGGATCGCATTCATTACGAATTCCGCAATTCACCAGTCCGATTGCTAGCAAGGCACCGGATTTCACGTAGTCTTCGTTCGTATAAAGATACCTAAGCGGATAATAGAACCATCAGTAAGTAAGCTCAAAAATAACAGTTTTTTTTTAATTCTATTAATGACTTATCATAATGACTTATTATATCTTTTTCCAAAGAAATGTTTGAAAAAGTTAGAATTAATTCACAATAAAGATTAATATATTTTTGCTTGGAATTTATATTAACTTGTCGATGGGAATTAATCCGCCGTCGACATCCCACATATGTATCAAACCCAGAGAAGCAGTAGCTGATAACATTCCATGTTCCTGAAAAAAAAAACCACATGTTTTCATTTGCATTGCAATATTTTTATATTATATAACTTTTTAATCAAAAGATATATATTTAATATTTATATACATATCTCTCAATCCTTCTTTCTATAAAGTATGATAAATAATTATTCATATTTTCTATTACACTAGAAATAGACCAGTATTTATATTTAAGATTCTCTTAAGTACAGTCTTAAGATGTCTTGAATCAATCACAAAGCTGTGTGTGTATCAGCATCTTAAGACATTATTTAAGATAGTCTTGAAATAAGAATCGGTTATGAATGTTGATCAAAGATTAATTAACTATATAATTATTTAATATTAAAATTCTGGAAAATTAATTGGCATTAACTAAGATACTCTTCTTAAATTATTGAGTCAAACCTTATTTTTATACACCCAACAATCCGACGTGTTTGCCATCAGCTTGTCCTGGCCGAAACCCGCGTGCACGAAACCAGAAACGAAACTTGCCGCTAAATTCGCTCTAGCCGAATCATGTTCCATTTGCCTAAATCCGCTTACCAACCAGCTCTTGTAGATATCTTCTGGGAGCTTTGGCTCGAGTATATCAAGCTCTCTGGCAAGAATTTGGAAATGGGTGTTTATGTGACCATTGCTGAGGATCGCCTCGATGTTCTTAGCATCGTCTCCGTGATATTCTGACCTCAAGGGTTGATCCTATTTAACAAACAGATTACTATCAATTTCATCTTATTGTCAATTTATTAAGTAAATTAATTTTCTTTTAATTATTAATTTCTTCAAAATCAAAATCGTTATCTTTACAATTATATCCCTTTTTTTAATTTAGTTGATTCCTATTAAATTCTTGTAAAGGATAACTGAAAGATATACTTATCATTGGATTAAAAGGAAGAAGTAGAAAGACACTTGCAAATTGTGTAATTATTGTTTATCATTTAATTTGTTTAAAGTAATTTATTTTCTACAGAAGGAAGTTTAGCTATTTATACATTTACATATTTCTGTATATGAAATTAATGGAATGTAGAGCATTTCTGAATTGCTATTAACATTGTCTTATGCATTGTACTGCTTCTCTGATCTTATGAAATAAAGTCAAATGCTATGCAGATATTATGCAAGGAGTTACTTGCAGACGGGAGAGGATAAAGGCTAGTTGATTTCTCGTCAAAGAATCGGGACAAGCGGTGAAGCACTTGAAAACAAGTTCCGAATTTACAAGTTGCAGCGCTACCAAAATTGCTCTCGTGTACTCGTTAAACTTTAGGTATTGCTCCGTAGCAAATTCTAATATTTGTCTTCTTTCTGTCTCTTCACTGAATTAAAAATACATGTAGTTTAACAAGTAATTTAATCGTACAAACACGCGAAGTGGATTAGAATTTATTGAATAGTGAATAGCTTAATATTTTTAATATATTTTATTAAAATATGAAGCTATATTTATATTTTAAACATCAAATTATACAGCTTAAAAAGATTACACTTCGTTCATAAATGAATTTATGTTTCAAATTGTGTTCAATACACAAGAATAATTTATTTTATAAAATCTATTAGATTTGCTTTTATTTAAAAAAAATAAGACCAGTGCTTTTAATTATAGTAATAATATCCAGTAAACATTACCTGTAAGTCGCGCAACTAATTAAATAATAGCACACACGCGCAAAATTTGTAGGCTCCAGATATTCCGCGAGAAAATTCAGCTCGTCAATTTCCAAGCATAAATCGCATGCTTGTATTTCCGCATTGTGTCTTGTGTCGAACGCTATGATGCTCTTGATCAAAGGTATAAGACGCTTTCTAATACAAGAAATATACTGTGTGAATATGTATTTTATATTGTTTTCATTACCTCTCGGTGTTGATGTAAATATAAAACTGAGCATAGGAATATGTAATAAGGAAATGATATCTAAATTTCTGCTACAGATTGCGTCATCATAAAACATTTTATTTGTATTATCGTATATTTTTTGATAATATATACTTTATACTTAAATAATATATTTTACCGAATCTCACGCTCCTCTTTGATCGGTGCATTCGTCCATTCATCGACGATCTGTGCCTCGAGTTGTCGCACGTATTCATGGCCCCATTCCCCGGGATTATCCACAGCTCCTTTGATACAAAAATCCAGACAGTCTCTGGATTCTGGAGTAGCTCCAGCGAGAGCGAGTACACTCAGGATTTCTGCAAAACGTATCTTTGCCTCTTCCCTTTTGAGTCTTTCGTATGTATTGCGCAAGTTCGGATAAAAATTTCTCAAATATTTGAGAGGCTTCGGAACAGATGTCATCGAAGTCGTGGATGTACGTATCAACATTCTCAGATGATTCAATGACAGCAACATAGCTATTTCATCTTTACCCTGAAAATTACATACATATACATACAATTTCTTTTCTAAGATAGCAGTTTTTTAATTAGTAAAGAAAGAGTTGAATTTTAGATACATTTTATTCTAAGTCAAAACTGTTTCAAAAATGAAACTGTCAAAATTTATTTACTTGTAATACATCAACTGCTTGTAACAATTCTTCCTGTAATTTCTTATCTTCTTCACTCTATATAAAAAATGCAAAATGATGTTGATACATATTCTATTTTTAATACAGACTAATATTTAAATTCACAAATAATATTCTTTTAAATTGATATTTTAACATTTCTTGCAATTTTTAGCCAATATTATACGCTTACCATATCACTTTCCTTATCTTGATTACGTTTATTCATCGTTTTTACATGCATTCTCTTTATGTCAAACAAATATTTTGCCACGATTCAATAACATTGAATTGAACGATTCAGAAAGTTTTAATTAATATATTGTCAAATAAATTTTCGTATTATATGTCATACGCAGCATACGGCTTTTGTTTCATTATTTTTCGGGAACCAACATATATGGTGACGATTAAATATTTATTAAAGTTTGTGTTTATTACAGCCGCTGCTATTTCTATTGAAGAATTTGGTTAAAATCTGTTTTAAGACGTGATGTGATTCAAGCGTATACCGAGAATTAATTCTTTATTCATGACGTATTCGTCGTATTTTTAATCGTAACACAATTAAAAAGTTAGATGATGTTTGTCTTGAAAGATCATCTTATAATTATCTATTAATTAAAAGCAGATCGAAAGCAACTTTATTTTATTGATATTCTTTTATTTCTTATGAAGTTCTATTTCTTATAATATCTTTGTATTAAACTTTATGCTAAATAGACGAGTTTTTAATTAATTAATCGTATTATACGTAAATGCAACTTTGTTCCGTAAAAGCTGCATTTGTACATAATACGATTAATCAATCAATGAATTAAAAAACTCGCCTAACACTTAAGTAGAAATTTCTTTTTGAAAGAAATAAAATTTCCTTTTATATTGTTAATATCTTGAAAAAATATTTTTCAAATGAATACATATTAAATATACAATAAAGAACGCCAAGAACGGTCAAATTTTGGATGTTACAATTAATACATTATATATTCTTTTTATTAAATCAATTTATAGATATAATTGTGAGCCGATAACATTCGGTTTAACACAATCATTCTGAAGTGCCCCACTTACTTACTTTCTTTCTTTCTTTCTAATTTAATTTAGGGAGGATTATTAGCGTTTCAGAATGATTGTATTGAAACCGAACGTTATCGGCTCGCATTTATATCTGGAATAAATTGATTTAATAAAATTGGATTTAATAAAAAGAATATATAATGTATTAATTGTAACATCCAAAACATTTGACCGTTCTTGGCGTTCTTTATCGTATTTGATGTATTCACATATACGGTTGTGCTTAAAATTCTTAATATATGAATACATATTATTTTCTTAAAGTTATATTCTTTATTTTATATAGAGATTTTATTATTAAGAAGATATATTAATATAATATTATTATGTAATTGATAATTTGGGAAAAAGGGAAAGAAAGGTTTTTATTAGGTGTTGGAATTAATTCGTAGCGTTTTACAAGTGATGGGAAGTACTTTCATTAATGTATTTTTTAATGCTCATGTGAAATAAATAACATTCTTTCATTAAAAAACGCTACGAATTAATTCCAACACCTAATATTTATTGCTTGTCATAAAATTGCAATAAATATATTAAATTATTTTAAAATATAATTATCATTTATTTTTAATTATAATAATTATGTACAAAATATGTCTTAGTATTAAAATATATATAACATGGCCAAAAATAGTTGATATGTAACAGATTAGAGAGCACTGCTCTCGAATAAATTTTGTTATTTTCAAAATTGATTTGTCATTCGCATAAATTCGAACATTTTAATGCGAAGGGCAAAAGAAACCTTATAGACATTGCCATTCATCATTTAGTAACATAATAGAGCGCTTTTATAGTGTACATATATATATATATATGTATGTGTGTACTTTATAACAGATTATTTCAACACGTCTAATCAATATATATATATATATATATACACACACACACACACTATAAATTGTTCATTAAATTCTTATTTGTTGATCAACATACATGTGCAACGATGCATGATTAATTATTAAATTGAATCACTTTTATATAATTATAATTTCCATTATTTTAATTCCGTTTGCTAAATTTTGAAAGCAATATGACAAAGAGTAAAAAATTATTTTTTATAATTTTACATTAAAATATTATATTATTTTTATATTAAAATTTTGAATCGTATATTGAGACAATATTAAATAAAAATTTTCATATTTCTCTTTAAATCATTAAGAATAAAAAATGCATTGTGCACTTAAGAATAGTACTCTCATTAAGATAATATTATGATTTTTTTTTATAATAATTTAATGCAAATCAACTAATAATACAATGGATATTACTCCCAAAATTATTTTGTTCGCGTAAATATATTAATATTCATTGTACATAAATTATGGGTATTTTGTAAATAACTAAATATAGCACGGCTTTATTATTGTCAATATTTATAAAAAACAAGTTAGCTCATACCTATTTCTCTTCGCGTCATATAAATTCATCGATTTATTGACAATTTTAATGATTTCAAGTTTCAATGATAATCGATGTGAAATTTCCTTTTAAATTTTTTATATCTCTCTGATCATTAATATTTACGTTCTCTATGTAGACGCATTATAAAATGACTAGTCTCTCATCCGTGAACGAGAAATACGCCGCGAAATTAATATTTTTGGTTTTTCGTTCGCTTACTATGTCCACAATAATGTGTAATACTAAGAAAATCCCACGATATATTATAAATAGGAGAGTCATATTGTTGCTTCACTGCGTTTCTTAATCACGGATCTGACAGGAACTTAAAAACGTAGAAACATTTATTGACATATTACAAATTCCTTCATGCTTAGAAAAACGAAGTTTATAAGCAATGATATACATATCGAAGTATATCATTAATGCTAGCGTACTTATAAATATGCATGATATGACTTCCATTATGTACATATATAATTATTGTGCTATGTTACGTAAATGTGCTTGGAAAACAAAGTATTTTTGGTTCTCTGTTGCAGAAAATAACAAAATAGTATCTGCGTATATGTGAGCAAAAATAGAGTCTATTCTCGTTTTACTCTCTCCCTCTATAGATACCTGAACATTTAAATTATTAGACCATCATTCGTTTGTCGATAATTTTCCATTTTTCTTTATGATTCAAACGACATTAAGACAAAAGACTGAATGGTGGTAACTTAAAAATATTTCTTTTTCGCCCGTATTATCTATATCTGTGTAAATTTGGCAGTAGATGAGGTACATATACTATCCGCATTTCTGATGATCTACTTGAATCTCCTTCTTTATAAAATATATCCAATTCCTATAGATGTCATAAAAATGTAAAACTTTACATATTTTTTAAAAATATTTAATCTCTTAAAAGTGTTGAAGAATTCGTCGAGTTCAGCATATATCATCAAGATAATCGAACCTGAGCACTCCCGTCTCACTTTTTCATCCCATTCTCGACGCTTGCGGTCGAAGTTACTCCATTGAGCTCATCCTGGATTTGTTGAAGAGTCTTACCTTTCGTTTCGGGCAGCAAAAATATCGTGTAAAGGACACTAACTAAGCAGAATCCTGCGAACATCCAGAAGGACGCGTAATTGCCTAATGCCTGCTCGATGTTACTAACGAACTTGGTAAGGAGGAAGGCCAGGAACCAGCAGACGGAAACTGTTATACCGGAAGCCTTGGCCTTGACATTCGGATCGAACATTTCGCCCATCACCGCCCACGGAAGAGGACCCCAGCCCACGCAGTATGTGGCGATAAAGATGACTAGTGAGACTATCGGCAACCAGGATATCTGATCCACTACGTCATCCGCTTGCTGTACTTCCTTCAGGTAGAAATATAAGCCCATGGCACACTGCAGAACAAATGATTACATTATAAGCACATACAAAAGAGAACAAAAGTTAAAATTTGTGTGATAAAAAATTCAATGCTGCTATATAAACATATTCGGTGTTTGAAAAATTTTTATCTACATGTGTATAGTGGCGCGTCGTTACAAGATGTTTTGGTTGTTTCTGACAATTTTTACTATATTAATCTCCCACAGAATAACTGCCTTCTAAATTTAAGTAGACTCACAATGGCAAAACGAAAAAAAGAAACTCGTGTTTAAAAAAATTCTTAAAATACAAAAATTATAATTTTTTCAATTCATTTTAGTCGATGTGTTATCGTACGCGTGTCTGCCTCTTATCGCAATTATGTAATCGATGCACATACAGTCACGTGGAAGTCCTTGCGCTTTGTGTGCACTGAATCCGATACATTCCATCGTATTTCATTGGAATGCATAATGACGTATGTATGTATAATAATGCTCAACCTTCCTCTTCTCGAGGACATTGTTATACATCCTCGCGATTTATTGTTGTATTTCCTGCGCCGGACTTTACCGAAACGCGAGGACTTTATGGCCGTATCTTTATCTGATCTACAAAGAGAATTATATAAGCTCCAAATGACGATAACAAGTAGCATCTCAATTAAGTCGTTCGCTCCATGAATTTGCCTGAAGGCGAGATGCGTGATAAAAGAAGTTAAATCCACAACGAGTATAATTATGCATGCTGATCGTGCACGCTCACGATCGGAAAATGCATTTAATGATTTGACCGTGTAATCTATATAATATGAAAATGAATCAACGCGCGATAATTCGTGTCAATCATCTACAAATTATTGTCGACAAAAAATATTTGTGGAATGGAGCTGTCAATACTAAATTAATACACAATGTCACCAAACAAAATTCCCATTTTTATCAATCTTCTTATTTGAATTTTCTTATATAATACTCCTTTTTATATGCATCGTGATTATGGCATTAAATAAGATGAATTAAAACAAACATATATAGTAACATTCTGTTTTAATTCATCTCATTTAACGTCACAATTGTGTGTTTACAAAAAGAGAGTAGCTTTGTATTTAATAAAATTAAAATGAGAAAATTGATAAAAATAATAATTTTGTTTTGTAATATTAATTTATGTCTGATTTAAATGCAGTTCACTGATTAAATATGATTCAAAAGATAATTGTGTTTCTTGGTAGAAAATTTATCTTTATGCTTCTAACGATTCTAATCTAAATTCCTTGAGGTTCCTTTGAAATTTTAATCAACTGCAAAATGTATGCTCATTCTAATAAACTTAGGTTCGTCATCGCAGGGCGACAAAATTAAAATTCATTCCATAAAACAGGAAGTAAACTTTATGGGAAACCGCGTCTATCGCTTCATGAATACGCTAATTTTGGACACGCTTTTCATGCAAATTTTCAAATCAATCTGGTGTTCATCAAAAGAGAGTAGTATGAAAATTTTGTAAGGGTTTCAATGCAATATTAAATTTTAGGTCCCGCATTATTAATTCTCCATGAACTATCATGTCTTTAAATCATGTCTAATTGTAAGTATATACGATTAATAATAATTTTCAATTGCAACGTTTTATGAATGACTGCAACCGGTTCTTTTAAAACACGAGAAAAGATAAAACAAGAATGTTTTATTTTATATAATAATTTTTGTAGCCTAATATCTTCTAACTGAAATATTGTTAATTGTTGTGCTTATTTATAATGTGTAAAACTTTAACACTATTTTAATTGATTTCTACTACTAATTTTGATCTTCAATTAATGACAATATATACCATCAAAGACACAAGAAAAGATTTGATCTAGCTATTCAAAGTCTTTACTAATCAGGTCTTAAATTATTTTTATTAATTCTCATAACTGAATTATTATAAATTATATTCCAGATTTAAACAAATTTTTTTTTTATTTATTTTTACAACTATGTATTTTTTAAATTCACAATTGATTAATTTGAGATCAAATCTGAAAATGGAAGCAATTACTCACCAAACTGACTGTCTCTCCGATGCCGGAGATGACGAGGAGCATCCTTCTACCTGATCTATCGACAACTACGGGTGTCACTGCTGACGCTAATATTTGCACCACTCCGATGATAATCGGTGCTACATCTGTTGAGATGCTGCCTCCAGCAGCAATGAAAATATTTTGTAGATAGAACAGCACGACATTGATACCGGTAAACTGTTGAAAGGAAGCCAAAGCACAAGTATGGCCCAGTGCCTTGATGTTCACCTTCACCTTGAACAGGTCTAAGATGCTAATTTGAGTCTTGAAAGCCTCGTCAAGTATTACCTGAAAAATTGAAACCGAGACGAATTTATTAAACAATAAATATTAAAACTGAAGCACAACAATCTACATAGAATGTTCTGAAATAAAAAAATTAAATTATGTGTATGCTATTAAAAGAATTTCAAATAATGCTGAAGCAAATTTGCTATCCATTTACAATCTGAGCCTCTATGTTCCTCAGCTCTTAATATTTATTTTTGCAATTACATTTTGCGACTGTTTCAACGCTCGAACAATAACTTTAATGTATAGTTACGTATAGCTGACTAAAGGAATACTTGATTCTGAGAGACTCTACATTGTAGGAAGGAATGTTGTTTGCAAGCCAGTCATAATTGTTCCTCACGACATTGTCGTTTAGGATCAAGGAACGGCCTTAGCCACAACCTTGTTTGTCTAAAGCGATCTGACGGACAATGTATACTCGGACATGTGTCTAGTAATAATTGAGTACGTGCTTGTAACGGTGCATTCGCGATCATCTTGTCTAGTTGAGCGACCCGTTGAGAAATCAACGAAGCCATAAACGACCGCGAATCGAATTAGCATTTTTTATTACAATACTATATACTAACCGCATAATTTTCTTGACAGAATTTTTTATAAAATTAAATATGCCAACAATTTGAATTTCTCTGACAAAAAATTAATACAAAGTTAAGAATCAAATTGATTCACCTGACTTTAACAAATTTGAAAATTCTGGGATTCTTTTAGAGCAGACAATTTTAAAAGAAAGTTATGTTATGCACAATGGCTTACCTGTATTTCATCGGCTTCCTTCTGAACGGCAGCTTCGGATTTGCTTCGGAGTTTCGCCAGAGATGCAATTGCTTCATCTCTGCGGCCCCGACGGAGGAGGAAGTACGGAGACTCCGGCATAAAAAAAAAGGAGATGAAGAAGATTATCGGTAAGATGGCACAGAGAATCCAAAAAACTGTGTAACTAACAAATGGCCCAATAGCGTAGGCATATAAAAAACCGATCGTGATAAAGAGTTGAAGAAAAGAGCCCAATGCTCCCCTGATAGACACCTGAAAAGTTACATAAATTAAAGTTATTATATGTATAATGACCAATTTAATTATTAAAAATTAAAACGAGACTAATGAGACTTAAAGCGCGATGATATGAATATTAATTAATTTGTATACAAATGTTTTTTATTTATATTACTTGATTAAATGTCTGATTTCGCTTTTCGGATCCATTGGATTGTATAGAATATTGACAAACCTCTCATCGTTTTTCGTTTTGTACTTGATTGACATGTGTCAACAATCAACAATGCGTCAAAAACATAACTAGGGAGATACTTATTTCTAGAACTCTGAGAACGTTTGATCTTTTAATTTGTTGCTGTATAGATAGCTCAGAGCGGAGTTGAAATGTTCAACCAAGTAATTAGAATAAAGAACATTTTTATACAATTAATTAGCGCTTCAATTACACCGCGCTCTAACTCTCATTGATTCATGCTTTAATTTTTAATAATTTCAAAAGTCTTTCAGAATTTTACTTAATTCAAATTTAAATTCAAATTAATTTAAATTTCATTACTTTACTTTATTTTTTAATATTATTTAACAAACAAATAATTTTTATTGCTTAAATAATTATTTTATTTATTCTAGTTGTGTTCATAGATTCTGAGAAGTATGGATAAATCTTTAATATCAGCAAAAAGTGCCTAAATAATATAAAAATTTAGGCAAAATGCGAAAATCCTAGAAAATTGTGTATAAGTAATTGTGCTACTTGTATATATAATATATATATATTGTATATGTGTGCAAAATAAATTTTACCTCGGCTATTTCCCCATTATACATAGGGATGATCGTGAATACGATAGACAGAGCCAATCCAAGCACTAATCGAGCAACATAAAGCTGAGCCACGTGACCTGCAGAGGCGACAAGTATCCATCCAATTAAATACGGCACCACGCAAGATAACAACGCTCGTTTGGGACCCAATCTATAGAATATGAATGAAAAAAATCAGTTCTCGTTATTTCTGATTCAGCTATTAAATATTTGAATTTGATACACGCTTTTGGTGCTTTTCATTAAATACAGTGCGATACAGTGACCATATCTTCGTTTAACATTAACAAACAACAGATACAAGCAAGATTTACTGTGTTATATTGTGTCATCTGTGTCTCTTGTTGGGAAACACCCTTTATCTCTTGACGAAGATTGGCTCTAGTTTTTAACTTACAGTTTCGAGAAGTAGAACGTAATTACGTAAATTACTTACATATTACAAAATTACTTGTGCAATTGAATGACTAATTTATACTTGAGACTCTCAAATAAAAATCTAGTCATGTAAGAAACATGGCAATATTTGATTCTACAAAATATATAGGATTCTATAAGCTTTATACGATTCACAGTATATACTCTGCAATCTAACGATTGCCATATTTTCTTATAAAAAAATGTACGTGATCAGATTCTTAGGGTCTTTAATTTATATTATAAGTAATACTTTTCTCCGAGGTATCCCGCTACGAAGCTGCCGAAAATAGCACCGAGGGCCATCAGAGATCCTATCCAGGAACTCTGTTCACTACTGATCGGCGATCCCAAAGGTCCACCATTCTTCTCCAAATTAGGAAGAACTGGACTCGTCCATCCCATCATCGCGCCAGTCGCGGCGACGGATAGACTAGCTGTAATTGTAAAATTCCGAGATGTATATATTATACAAATAGAAAATAAACAAGTGCAGGAATATTCGTGTAACTTCTTTGCACGCTCAATGTTAATTCCTTGGATATTTAACGATGACTTTATAATTGAGCGCCTTAATCTACAGCTTTTTAAAGGTAAGATCTTCTGATCGCTATTTTATCACTTAAATGAGACTTAATAATACATTTATCAACCCACAAATGGATTTATATTAAACTGTAGATGAATATGAAAATAAATGCGAAGATAAACTATGATTATACGCGTCCACGCCTGTCGCTAGTATCAGTCATTATCGCATTATTATTTGCTGCATATTTAATTGCTGAGAAGCTATCTCTTTAGAATTCTTTTTGTTCTATTATTGTTCCTAAAATTCATGTAATGATAAATTACTAAGTCAAATTCTAATGAAAAAAATAATAAATCATTTCTTTTATTATATTTTTTTATTAGTAAATCATTTTTCTTATTGTAATTATATAAAAATGGAGAAATATAACAAATGATTGAATATCAAAACTTTATCTATTTTATTTTAGACAGTTATTTGCAAAAATTTTATAATGTATATGTTTTTATCTATATCTTTTTCTTTTTACAAATTCAAAAGGTTAATTATTATTTAAATGTTTAATTATTAAATATTTAATTATTATTTAAATATTTAATTATCATTTAAATGTTTAATTATTAAAGCTGAACATTTTGTTTTGTCAGTAAAGAAACATTATATTAGGAAGATATATTTATGTGTTTTGTACAAAATCCCAAATTATATTTTTATCACCAACGAAAAATTGACTTTCCGAAGATGTTTTTGTTTCTAGATTAGCAATTCAATCGTGTTAACATTCGAGATAACTTGTAGGCAATGCTCCACTGATGAAACTCGAGTCAAAGCGTGCTTTGAAGGCTTTTCCGGAGATAAAGAGGTTTTACATAATTGTGTATTTCAGGTAATGCGGTAAGATTCAAGGCCCGCGATGTTTCCGGTTTTACGGAGCGATTGGTACACGTTCGAAGCTTACAAAGCAGAGATTTAAACTGCAGCAGAGGATATCCAGCTGTTGCAGCTGAATTTAATATACGTTTGCAAGGTAAAAAAAATTTATTCAATCTACTGTGCAAAATCTGCAATTATAAATAATAATTTTTTTATTATCTATTAAACAAAATAAGCATTTATATTCGTATTATAAAAAAAATTCGTATATACTTATTATATAATATCAGTATATCATTATTTAATAATATTTTATCTCTTTTTCATTAAACGAGAAGTTTTAATTTATATTTTATATTACGAATAGAAGAGATGGTGTCTAGCTGATCATCTATATATTTCGCGTATTTATGTAAAAGAAAACTTCGTGTTTTGGCATGTCATTGACCGATGATAATTTTACCTTAACGAGTAAGGAATCTTAATTTATATTTAGTATTAAAAAAGAAGGAAAGGATGATTTAATTTGTATCTCAGTGCATAAGCATAAATCAAATTACGCTGATTTGTTACTTCATTACAAATAGTCTAAGCGGAACCGCAGAAAAAATCAACTACTAAACGGTTATTGTGATATACGCGGTATTATCGCAATTTACGTATTTCACTTACGTAATTTCTCGACGTAATGCGTTACGTGATTGCGTCGTCGATTGTACGTCATGGTATTGAACTAGTATAAATGTGTATCGCACGCGCACTTGACATCGAAAAGATACAATCTCGCTAGTATTGTCATGACTTAATGTTAAATTATCGACACGAATACAGGATTGCACTTCGCATTTTTATGGGAAAAGAGAGATAGCTTTGACAACAATAAGCTAGTCACGCAGAAAGCAGCGAACGTGCGCGCAAGCTCTATTTTATTGAATTTCATTAGCGTTGCTTTTATTTGCTACTGTTATGAAATACTATAAATGTGTAATATTTAATGAATACGTGATTAGTCAAGCGTTTAAATTGCGATATTACCAGATGATTACTAACAATATACAAAATTAGAGAAAAAGAATTGTATAAAGAAAAATAATGGTATTATATAACTGCAAGCAAAATTTATGTAATTATTTATATAATAATAATGAATTAATTAATCTGCAGTTATATCAATTCCAAATTATTAATTACCGAGATATTCGGTAATTATTTTTTTTATTTGCAAGCAAAAATATTATCTTTGAGGCCGTAAATTATCTTCAACAAGTATTGTTTTTCCTCAAACAATTTGACATGAAACTTCCCAATTATAATTTAAAATTCAGACACATGCATGTCTGAAACGTCTTGATACAAAGATGTCATAAATCGAGATGTCTTAATTTTGTTATAAAGATATCATTCTGACAAACTTTTCAAACAAGTCTTAAGAATTTTAAGATAGATGTCTTGTAAAACAATCGATATTGTCTGAAGAGAGCACAATTAATTTGTTTGCGTATCAAAAAGAGTCAACGTCCTTTTTTGATAAGCAAACACAAGGAAAATAGAGTTCACACTCATGGTCCTCCTAATCGTCATCATTGCGTGGGGCTATCACCTCTCCGTTTCCTCTTGATTTTTTTGTGCGCAATAATACGCGAATGTCGTGCTTTACTACTTATTAATTTTACTGAATTTAGTAAATTATTTTTTCATTGACTTGACACGAGGTAGCGATTATTGATCACAATGCAATAAATCCGTGCGAAGTAATCCGTGAATGTATAGATCCAAATATAGATAGGCATTCATCAATTCATGATGTCAAATACGATCGCGTTAGATAAACAGAAAGGTCGTTTGATATGTCTCTCGTTTTCGATGAAAAACATGTTCCATGTTGATAATTATTTTTCCATAATAACTGATATTTCCATAACATGATCCATCGATTACACCATGCACTTGCCGAATGATTTGATATTCCTCTTATCATTTAACAAACCATGATAAGATTTATCTTATAATTTTAAATCACATTATAAATCTATATATAGCGAAATTTATAGGATTAATTATCTATTCTATCCTATTCCAAACAGAAATTTAAATATCAGATAATTAAAGTTGCGATTTAAAATAACGGCTTTCAACTTTCGACGAAGTTTTTAAAAAGCAATTAAAAATTATATATATCAATAGTGATTATTAAAATAATATACAATAGGTGAATCAATAAGTAACCTTAATTTTGCCCTCAAAAAATCAAGATAATTCATATTAAGGTTATCTTATTGACCCACATATAATTCGATTATATAATGTAATCCATAAAATAACATATCAATGTTAAATGATATTTCATATTGACATTTTTATCGAGATAACAAGCTCGTTTATATATTATATCTGGTTATGAGATAATTTCTTTGTCACTCTTCAAATAGATTTAAAACTTTTTTTACGATTGAATAAAAATTGAATATTTTTAAATGAGTTTTCACGATTAAATAAAGATTAAATATTTTTAAATGAGTTGCATAATCTGGCGAAACTTTCAAAACAAAAATGCCAATATCAAAGATGTGCTGCTGAAAATATAAGGATGTATCTTTGCCCCTGAATGAGATAGTCAGTGCCGATGTTGCATCAAGTAATCAGAGTTTGACGATGATCCATCATTACTTAACTAGCACATAATTCTTCTTAATTTTCTTATTTTTTTATTTGTCGACTCATTGAAGCTGCATTCGTACCAGTAGAACGTTTTTTTATTACGAATTTTAACGTGACAATTTACCTCTTTGTTTACGCGTTCATGCATATGACATGGTACGGGCTCGTACCGGATTATCGCGAGACAGAAATACGTAAAATGAGCAACAAAATGGCCTGAACGATAAAAATCGATAAATAACGCAGTTAAATACGCTTACGAAACACTGCGTGATACATCGTAAATTGTAGAGTGAAAGTCAAACATTGATTAAGTATTAAAAAATTATATCTCAAAATATGAGAAAGTGTCTCTCAAGAGTACTTATTTATAAAGTTATTAATTTTAAACAATCCAAAGGATATTCAATTTAAGCAGTTAGGAAATTTAATTTACTAACACTTTTAAATATTTATAATATAAAAGTTAATTTAAAATGATTCTCAAAGTTATGAAATATTTATTCCGTTTTGATGGATTATATAATGTTATCATATATATTGAAATACTAGAAGAGATAATAATATCATAGCCTCCTATTTTATACAATAACTTTGTTAAATTTAGAATGTAACGGTACATTTGTTAAAGTATTGCTCAATCAATTCTATAATAAACTCAAAGTTATGAAATATTTATTATTTAGGACATTATTTATAAAAATTTGATGACACTGTCTTCCACAAAAATAAATTTTTTTTCACAAAAAAAATTAGTTTTCTTTATTAAAAATATGATATTTAAAATATATGGAGAAATATATGGGTTGCAGAATTATATACACGTGTGTGTATTTGCATGCATTCTGCAATTTTATTTTTTTCTTATTGGTTTTGAATAATTTTTTACTCAAATACTATCAACTTTACAAAAAAACTGCAAGAGATAAAAATCATTTATTTTCTTCTCATAAAGTTCTAAGAATTTTTTCAGAATTTTTTAGTACTGCATCAACTTTTTAGTACTGCATTTTCTCATTTTTATCAACATGAAAAATTCTAAAAAAATTCTTAGAACTTTATGAGAAGAAAATAAATGATTTTTGTCTTTTACAGCTTTTCTATAAAGTTGATAGTATTTGAGTAAAAAATTATTCAAGATCAATATTTGACAATTTTTAGTAATTAATATCTTGTTAACTATTGCGAAAATTGCAAAATGGTAGAGGACTTTTCGATTCAGTTTAGTCCTCTCTATCTGCCCATGAAATATTTGGCGATTATTTCCAGACATCCTGTATATATATATATACACACACACACATAACTTCTCGCACATATTATAGTCTGTTCAGTAAAAATTTATAGATAATACGTATCTGAAGACAATAGTGG